ATCTACTTTGGAATCCATTTTTTTGTGTATGTGTGTGTGTCTACCCGTTTGTGGCTGTAGGGGTCGATTCACAGCTCTTGGTTAGTCGCTACTAGGTCCACTCTCTCTGCTCTAAGTGCCTTTCCGTGCCTCTTCTTAAAACTATATATGGATCCTACCTCCACTACATCACTCACTAGATTGTTCCACTTCCTGACAAATCTAAGGCTGAAAAAATACTTCCTAACATCCCTGTGACTCATCTGAGTTTCTAACTTCCAGTTCTCTGTGTTTCTTACGCTCACCAGCAAGATTTTTACGCCATACAATAGTGATTTTTTTTCTACTAAGTATGTAACCTCAGTATTATATCACAGTAAATATCCAGCATTTTATTTCCCATAAAAACAGATATTCCTTAATTCTTGTGATAATTTGCCGGTAATTTTGTTTTGCATTTATAATCAAAATAATCTAAAACTCAAGCCATATTTAACAGAACAATTCTGTTGTTAGACTCAATTAAACAACAGCCGTACCCGTGTACTCTGACCTTACTATATCTCTGTATTCCTGGCTAGTTTGCTCTGGGCTTGCTCATCTACTCTAAGAATTTACACTTGGAACTTTCGGTGTTCATGACACCAAGCTGCATTCGTCTTATCATTGGACAAACAAAAATTTACATCTACGGTGATTATCTTAATTCTTTGGTTCCAGCGAGACTCATCGTTCTCATCCTCACGTTCTCAGTACTATTCCATGTGTTTGTATATGCTTTATGCCTTAAGTTAGTCAAAGCTTGATGATAAGGGTTCGCCACACCCATATTATAGCAGCAGTGGACTGAAGAGTCAATTTAAAACGCACACTCTCTTCCCTGATATGTATCCCGGGAGACAATTAGCATCTGGGTCTAAATAGATGTATCTCGTGCTTTGGTTCGAAGCGTAGATCACGAGATTCTTTTTACTGTTTAAGCTCTACAAGTCATATTTATTGTACCACAATTTCTCTTTGTGTACTCAATCCTCTTTATCCCGAGGACGCAGTTGCCACCAGCATCGTTGCAGCCAGGAACGTTTTCTTTTCCCAACACGCAAACACACCAGAAATATTCTATTATTTTTCCAAAATAAAAGTCACAGGGCTTGCCATAACATGGGTTATTGTCATTTATAAATTTTGTGATCTTTTGGAAGTCTTGCTACTTCGTTAATTGTTTCATAGTATGAGTCGCTGTTAATGACCGTTCAGTTTTAACATTGCACTGTAACTTGTTAAAAATGGTTGAATTTGTAGGTTAGTGATCATTTCAAGATTGCTTTGTTTACAGTGTTCTGGAGAAGCGAATAGGAAGTAACGGTGAAGGTGGAAAGGGAAGTCCGCGTAGGTGGTGTTACAGTGAAAGGTGTGGCATACACGACCACCACGGTCCTGGCCAGAGCCAGACTGAGTGCCTCACAGAAAGTTCGCTGGTCGACGCTCCTTCATACAGACGGTGGCGCCGCCCTCCTGTACTAATGTAACTCGTTCACCTCAAACACCGCCCAGAATATATCATACTGTCTGCAGCACCCTGTCATACCTGTGATACCAAACACATCTTGGTAATTAAAAGTCCACCATCAGCTGCCAGCCATTAAAACATAAGAATGTGGTAACACCACAGAAGGTCTGTCAGCCAATTTTAGGATGGTTCCACTGTCAAATAACTATGATCTTCCTGGAAGAATGAGTTACAATATCGTAGCTGAAACATTTAAGATTTTGTTTCATTTGTACAGATTCTAAAATGAAACTGGACAACATTTAACCGCATTCTGACCAATCACCAAGATAGCTGTACTGTATAAATCTGTGGAGAATGTTGTGTGATTCTTCAATTAATACAACAAACACGGTGAAAATATGCCCATAATCTTATTGACATGTGAAATAAGAATGTAAGAATAGAGGAACCCTACAGTAGGCCTACTGGCCCATGTTAGGCCCATCCATTGTCACTCAGTAACTTAAGAACATACAAAAAAAAATGTACAGGAAGGGTTAGAACCCATGGCAAGTGAGTCGTGAAAACTCCAGGCAAGTGCGTAAGGCGCTGGGCCAGCTGGCTAACCCCACCAGTACCGTCGTTTGCTTGTAGTCGTGTTATTACGATTTCGTGGAACATATGAAACATCCACATAAGATTAGTAGTCATGGTTATATATTCTTGTAATGTCAAGTGGCTGGAGCTATTATTCAACTGCTCCGTCATGTCACTGGAGATATATACACGAGTAGGCGTAAAACGGTAATATTTACCAACAACTGACTTGTTTGCAATCATGTCACAGTGATTTCGCGAGTCAAAGCGTCAATAAGTGTCGTGGTACCTCATCAGAAGACAAGTTAAATGGTCCAAGTTGGACCGAAACGTCGTCATAATTTTCTTTCTCCTATGTGCGGGTTATTTGTGTACTGTTCCAGTCACGGTAGTCTGCCTTTATATTCAACATTAAAAAACGTATAGTAGGCACAGTGTCATTATCGTCATTCTGTCAGTATATTTACATTTAATACATTCGTGTTTAATACAAAGGAGTTATACACATTTTACATACATCGTACCTTGACCTTTTGTATGAACTGATGAAGCTCTTAATAAAATACCATAACCATCACACTGCATCATTACCAACACACGAGTGCTTCCCAGGTGACATATTACACGTCTACTAATTGAACTACCTGTTATATAAACAACTCAAACTATACTTGTCTCAGACAGTTTCAAAATTTAAGATGGTCTGTTGTCTCTCATGTGTCAGGCAAAACTTTACTGTGAGTTTTCTCAAATATTTACAGGCACTTGTTTTGTATAGTATTTACGCCCGCAATTCAAACACAGAATTATTTACTCACACATGACACTGTTCGTCAATAAATCTATACTAACTACTGCTGTTATTTATCCTCTGGCTGTAACTTTCTCGTCCCGGGCTCTGCTTCGTGGCTTCTGTATCTTATTAATTCTATGAATAGATAGATATATTAACAATGTAAAGAAGAATCGTAAAAAGAAGACTGGTCAGTCACTGCTACTCTCGCGAGCAGTGTGATAGACTGATGAGGTACGATCATTTTAAAATTTTCGGACTATTTCTTGCTTAATATTAAAATTAAAATATTCTGACTAAAAATTAATTATTTTACACTCAAAATACCTAAGCTTTAAAAATATTATTGTACTCTGTATATGATCTTTTTTTAAAAATCATATTAATTGATTGACTAGGTACTTCTGATATCGAAACACCGAGGATGTTGAGGTTAGGTAAGGTTAGGTTAGGTTAGGTTAGGTTAGGTTAGGTTAGGGTAGGGTAGGGTAGGTAAGGTTAGGTTAGGTTAGATTAGGTTAGGTTAGGTTAGGTTAGGTACGGTTAGGTTAGGTAAGGTTTGTCAGGAAACAGGACAAGTGTTTCCTGACGTAGGTCTTAGTCAAATGATGACCCGCAGCTGGAGCTTCTGGTCATCTGACCGAGGCCTTCCACTGGCTTACCCCTTCCACCCTTATTAAAAATTATGGCTGTGATTATAACCATTTATCCCGAGGACATTAAGGCTGCATCAGACTCACGAAAACCAACGTAAAATAAACTAGAGCAAAATAATATGCACAGATAATGAATAAAAAGTCATAATAGAGTGACTTGAACAGTTGACCCTAAACCCAGACTGAACAGTGGAAGTTTATGACCAGGTTTCGATCCCTCCTGAACCATCGTCAAGCCACAAATAAAAGTGCACCCCTTAATAAAACATAAAACAGGATAGAATAGAACCAGCAGGCAGGGTTTTTATGGTTTAACTCGTGGGGAATGGAAGGCAATCAGATTTTAACCACATAAATAATTTTGAAACCTTATAAATCATGTTTAAACAATATCAACAAGAATTAAAACATTTAAATCAGATTTAATCCCTAAAAAGGATAATACCTCAAATTTCTTAGATCAAGAGCCCTTCACCGGCATCAAGGGACCTCCCTGTAATGAAATGGTGAGAAGATACCTCTCTCTCTCTCTAGTAGTTTTTTTTAAGTCTTATTAATATATTAATGGGGAAGAGCTAAGTGCTCAAGGGAGGTAATAGGTTTGATCCAAGGAATTAGAGATTAGCTCATCTTTCTAAGATCAAGAGCCCATCCAGAAGGGGATACGCCATATTACTTGCTGGAATTTGTCATTTATAATATATATATATATATAATATAATATATATATATAATATATATATATATATATAATATATATATATATAAAATATTATATATATACACATATACACTTGCTCATTAAAGTAAACTTTAGGATAAAAAAACAACGTCTTTCTTTGCGTGTAATGTTTACTGAAGAAATTGTGTCAGCTGTGATGGTGCCAGGCATGACCCAGGGTGCATCAGCATCACGAAATAAATAGGGGAATCAAAATATAAAATATAATTTAGGGGAGTGAGGAACGATTTTCACTAAAGCGGGAAGGGTGCTGAGAGGTGCTGAGGGATGCTGAGAGGGTGCAGAGGGATGCTGAAAAGGCGAGACGGTGCTGAGGGATGCTGAGAGGGTGCAGAGGGATGCTGAAAGGGCGAGACGGTGCTGAGGGATGCTGAGAGGAGGAGAGGGTAGTTGAGGGATGCTGACTGGGCGAGAGGATGCTGGGGAAAGTGCTGGGAAGTAAGGAAGTTGGAGGGAGAGGTAAGGAGATGGATTTAGAGCGGAAAACCAGCACAGCCAGAAAGTTTTACAATGGAAGTAGTAGTAGTAGTAGTAGTAATTACGACATTTATTGTGATAGAAGTAATTGAGAGAAGACATGACAGAATCTTTCAAGAATAGTTGCTATGTACAGAAAATTCAAATAGACCGAAGTTGACTGGTTCTTCCTCCCCTCCAAAAAAAAAAAAATCCTGGTCAGCCAGGCTATTAGATAGTTACGTCGGAATACTATCACCCAGCACCAGTAGCCTGACTGACCAGGGCGATAACCGAGAAACCTAATCTAAGAGCGGGTCGCGGGGGGCGCTGACCCCCCTGAACCACCTACTGTTAGTCTGGAAGTTGGGTGTCTAGCCCTCCACATCTCATTTAATCTTGCTGAGTGAAAACTAGTGTAAGGAAAATAATCGAACACGAAGAACACTGTAAAGAAAATAATTAAAAAATTCTACTGATTCAGAATATTAAAAAAAAAAAAAAGAAAATAGCAACAGAAATAATATAAGAAATTTTGAAAGTTCAATGACGTCTTCTGTGTGAACTTTTAATCATAGTTTTCGTAGACTAAGACAAGATGTTGCAGCAGATGTTGCAGGAGATGTTGCAGGAGGTGAGATGAAATCTGGTGTCAGGTGACAAGGGCTCTCAACCTCACTGAAAACAGTGAAAAAACTGGCAAATTCCTAGATAGATTAGCTAACTAATATTACGTACATTTCAGTCAGACTCATATACAGAAGCCCGTAAGAAAGGAGCACTGCAGCAGGCCTACTGACCCATGATAGGCAGATCCAAATCACACACTGAAGCGAGAGGAGAGATGAACCACTTAAATATATCCTCAACTAATTCCATATTACTTTCAGAGCAAAATTAAAAATTACTCTATTTAAAAATGTGAAAAAAAAGGAATATTTAACTAAATTTCCCTGGGGATACAAGCGATTTTTCAGGTGACACCAGAGATTTAGCGACTAACTTCTGCAATTATAATAAACTGCACCGATTATCTTAGGGGTGAGAAAGTGAGCAAATCTTAAGAGAGAATGTTAAGAGTCAGTCACAACACTGAAACAAGTCGTTGTATGTTGGTCAGGTACGAGGGAATGTGTTGACTTAGCGAGTAACTCAAAGATAAGTGTTAATGTGGAGGAAGTTAGCCACTATTTGAAGTATAAGCGATTAAATAAGGTGTTAGCAACTATTTGAAGTATGTTTAAGTGAGGTGTTAGCGGCTATTTGAAGTATACGCGTCTAAGATTTGTTAGTGACTGGATGAAATATAAGCGTCTAAGCGAGATGTTAGCGATTATCTTAAAGATCAGTATCTGAGGTGCTAGCGACTTCTTGAAGAATAAGAGTCTTAACATTAGAAACTAACTTAAGTTTAAGTGTATAAGCGAGGTGTTGGAGGGATAAGCATCTTAGCGAGGTGTTCGCGATTAGCTGAAGGCTGTCTAAGCAACTAGCAACTAGCCAAAGCATAAACATCTATGCAAGGTGTAAGCTGGAGGATAAACATTTAAGCGAGGTGTGAGCTACTGCCAGAAGATAAATAAATCATTCACAAAGCGCTGAAGACCAGTGTCATGCAATAAATAAAATAAAGTTACGAACATATGTCGTCTCAATAAAGTTACGAACATATGTCGTCTCAATAAAGTTACGAACATATGCCGTCTCAATCAAGTTACGAACATATGTCGTCTCAATAAAGAGACACATTGACACGAAATAAATGCTAAAAGAAAAAAAGAAAACGAGAAACGAAAATAAATAATGAAGATGAGAACGTAAGAAAATGAGAAAATTAGATAAAAATAAAAATGTTTCTTCAGAGAGAGATTCAACTCAACCGTTCATCATAGCCATGAATTCTGAAACGAAAATTTGGTGCATGGTGAGCTGTGAGGGATAAGAAAAAATGGATATTACACGCAGCGCATGGCAAATTTTTCCCCTCATCCTCCGCCATGCGCTCTTGGTATACTATATATAGTTCATCTGTTTTCACATATATAAATATAAGCATATATATCAAACAAAGACCTCCTAGTAGCGACAACAAAACTTACTAAAACACTTAGTCCTAGAGAAAAGTTCACACTTTCTTGTCTTATTCGGCAAGAAGAGCATTGCTATTTAAGCCAAAATCGCAAGTTTTACCCTTTCGGAACAACGTACATGTGTGTGTGTATATAATATATATATATATATATATATATATATATATATATATATATATATATATATATATATATATAATAATATATATATATATATATATAATATATATATATATTCCGAATGGGTAAAACTTGCGATTTTGGCTTAAATAGCAATGCTCTTCTTGCCGAATAAGACAAGCGAACATTTGTGTTTGCAATAATTTGCAAAAATCATTCTGAACTTAACGAAAAAAATATATTTCATTGTGTTGTTTGTTTATTATTAAATTATCCCTGTTCACCTAGCAGTACAGTAGGTACCTAGGTGTTAGTCGACTGGTATGGGTCGCATCCTGGGGACAAAATTGATTTAATTTTCCCGAAATGCTCAGCATAACAAGCGGCTTTCTATATAATATAGTATGTCATTGATGTTAACTAGGCCTGTATACCTTGCACGTGTGCTTGTAGAAATAAATATTATTATTATTATTATTATTATTATTATTATTATTATTATTATTATTATTATTTCCCCTCTAATCCGTTTCACTACTTGTTGTAAAATACTGATAGAGTTTTAGTGTGCAGTG